CATGTGACTGTCATGCTATCGAGGCAAGCAACATGGCCTTGAAACAGTGACATCCATGTATTAAAGACAGATGAAATGGTAAAAAATGACAGGAGGATGGGTTGAAACTGCGACAGCGACAAGGACAATCAGAAATACAATCGAGAAATACTGTGAGATTCAGACTCGGGACATTATATGTAACGAACGCCAAGACTGATCACATTCCTCTTGGTTTTGTGTGCATATCTAATGAAATGATCTGGGAAAATAAAAGCTACCTGCTAAAAAGGTCTATTGTTGTCTGCGGCAATTTTATTTGCCTACTACTGTTAGAAACTTGCAAACTACCCTAGAGTTAAATGACAATGAATGCCCTGCAGGAGTCCATAACTGTCTGTGTCTTCTTGGCTGTAAAATGGGCCCTATACTTCAAGTGGTCAAGATCTTATATTTTTCACCCCACAGAAATAGAGGAGCTAAAGGAGGCTGGGTCACATAATGTGAGGCATCCCAGTGACTGTGAAATGATCACAGAATTGACTTAAGTTAAAATTGCTGCTTCAAATTAAAGTGAATAACACAAGGGAAATACTCAGTCTTAGAATTAGGACTCAATGCTCTTACAGCATGAAGTTTATAACTCTCTAAAGAATAACCAACTTTGAATGTAACATTCACAGTCCGATTTCGACTGAAATCATTAATTTTATTCTGTGAATTCTACCTCCCATGTTCTTAATGGCAAATGCAGATGTTATTCACATGTTTGTTCAACTGCAGCTTAATTACTGCCTATAGATTCTCCTCCAAGATCTCTAGCGAATACTGGCACAACTTACCAAGGCAGCTGAATACGGGCACAACGTACTGAGATCTCTCTAATTTGCTTTGTAGGAAAACAAATCTGTATGATTATGTATGTATCGTGTCGCTATGAACTCTATGAGACGTATACTTTCAGTTTTATCCCTTGAAGGACATTGTTGGGACACTACACTAGTTACTGTATTTTAGCTGCTGTAGCACCTATTCATTTCTTTCAAATGCGGTAATTATGTGAAGATGGCAGTGCTTATTTATTTACTGATAACTTTATCTCAAAAACTATGCATATGAGCAAAAGGAACGACAAAAACTCTGCTAAAATGTCACTGTCTCTTTCAAGAAGTGTGGCACAGCTGTATTGTATCATGATGAACACACTTTTTGCTTACGTGGAAAACTTTACGAGTTTTTATTCTTGCAGTTGACAAGAATTTTTATTTATTCAGGTTCTGGCAGTTCTTCAATATTTTTATATTATAAGAACCACTCTTGAATTCAAAGCTTGTAATGAGCATTGTGTCTTCTTCAAGGGTAGTTTTGTACTTATTTCAGGATGGAGTTTAGTAGTATTTTATTGTAGTGTTCTGTACAGTGCTTTTTAGGTGGGGCTTATTAGAGAATGGCAAACATTGTTTAAGTAAAATAACAGTAGACTCTAAAAAAGGAACAAGACTAGGAGCAAAAGGTTTTTTTTTAAGAATATAAGTAATAAACAAACTTCGCGAGAAATAACTGAAATATGTAATTTGGTAATAGCACTGAGTGGAGTATAATTCAGGGAGTAATTAATTACCATTATTAATATCAATGTCTCAATAACAAAATGTGAAAATCTCAGTTTAAGAAATATATTTTATTGATTTTAGTACAAAGTTTTTATTACTTCAAGTTACAGCTTCCAAAGCAAAATATCGCTTACAACTTTTGGTGAAATCAGAGTATGGAGGCCCAACAAAATGTAACCTTTTAAAATTAAATCAATCAATTAATCAATCAATCAATCAATCAACTTTATTGGTACATCCAATTAAAATGGGTTTTCACTTACCAATTACAATAAAATCTAATATGAACAATAGAAATATAAAATAAACATTTGAAAGTGATAAAACATTACCATATTATTTAAAAAATATAAAACATGCATAATTACACCTATTGAGTGTCAATGGCTTAAAAACTCGCAAGTGCACGTCCTTTAATCGCATTCTTAAAAACATTAAATGACTCTATGTTTGCTAAACTTTCTGGAAGGTCATTCCAGAGCTGAACAGCACTATATGAGAAAGATCGCTGACCTGTTGCTGATCTAAAAGATGGTATATGAAGTTTATCTTTATTCCTAGTATTTCTAGTATGCACCTGGCTTCTTGTCGAAAACTTACTACACAAGGATGGTGGGGCTAACCCCTAATGTGTCAATATTTTGGTTTTCACTGATTTTGGTTTGTTATCATGAATTAACATAGTTGAATTTGATTGGCTTGTCACATTTGCTATTTTTATTGGCCTGTTAACTGCCAGATTTGACCTGTGCGATTATAAGCCTCTGGTATTCTGAAAGTTTTGCAATTTTTGTAGCAAAATAAAGCCATTAATATTGGATCTTAAAAACCAATCAGATTCAAGCATTTTGTTATCGAAGCAATTATACTATTCTATTTGTATATAAAAAATGTACTCAAAGCACTTTAGACCTAACTTTTGATTGGGCGTTTAGTAATATTGCTGTGACCTCCACGGTAACCCAGTCTATTATTGAGAGATTTTATGTTTAAGAATAAGCTGATCCCAGTCTGGAAAATACTCCTCTTTTATGTTGTAACAATGCCTTTCCAAGTTCTTCAATTCTGATCGGATCAGATTGGCCTGAGGGCTCGTAGGAACATTCCAGATGAGAACTGAAACTAATCCAAACAACACAGCATCCAACAGGCAAGGTTTGGTGCCCATGATATACTTTTTCTTTCCTAACAACTCTGAAGCAGCTCTCAGGTCATTCTCTGCAATGCTATAAATCTCCTCCTTGGTGTGTCGGCCAATCCCATGACTCCATAGGTAGTTTTTCAAGGCACGACAAAACAGCCAAGATGCAACATATTTGAGGGGATAAGGTGTCACACTGAGCAAAGGTGACATTGTTTTTGTATCGGCAAGATCAACCTCAACGATATGATACATCACCGTCCTTTGAATTGAATGGAGAACAAAAAAGAAGTTATAGAGACAATGAATTATTATTAAGATGGAATCCATCAGGAAATTGAGTTATTAAAACTATAATTATATCTACAGCTCCTGAAAAGTGTAAAAAGGAATGCAGTGTGGCTTAAAATATTCTGGTACAAGGTTTTTGTCCACTGAAAATTAAAATTATTCAGTTTTCTGGTGGATTCCGTCTTAATCAACTTCACAGTGAGTATAAGTAATATATTAGGCGCCCCCTAAAGACAGGTACATGTCAGACTCTGCCAGCCATAGATACCTGGCAAAAGTAAAGCATGCATAGCAAGCAGCTGTTATTTTTTTGGTTAGTTTATATAAAGCATGCAAGGGGAACATGCAGAGGGGCCTCCTCTCCTATTCTCCCCTTGTGCCTGCACTGGTCTTTGAAATTTCTCCCTGTGCCCTAAAAATACCAGCACCTAATAGATAGGTTAGCAAAAGTACAGCTGAACAGCATTGTGTTGATACAGATAATATCCATCCTCCAACCATAGAGGACTTAATGGTTTGAACGCACCAGACTCCTCTTGAAAATTTAGTTAAGGTTCTTTCTGTTATGCTTAAGATCCTCCCCACCCACTTTGAATTTTCAGTGACCTTATAAGGACTAGGTACAAATCCAGAACCCTTTTTTTCGATTCATCTTGGACAGATATAGTATTGTTCTATGATTTTAGGTAGTTCTGTTTCAAGGAAGCCAAGAGGTTTATTAGCCTCATGAAGTCATGTTCATTCCGCATCCCCAACACAGGTTGACACACCCCCTGAACCCTGTCCAACTCTGGGCCAGGAGAACTTTCCAAAAAAAAAAAAAATTAATGTGCGTCAGTTACTGTATGTTTATTGACAAAATAAGCAACAAGAGTGCTTACCAATAGGTATTTTCCTCAAGTGTTACGATCATGGTGTGGGCGATGGCTTTTTCGACAACGCTCAAATGAGCATCAGGGTCAGCTTTAAACTCTTCGTTGAGAAAACGCACAATGAAATTAGAATCCGCAACCGATCTACCATTGTATTCTATCCACGGAACTTTGCCTTTGGTTGACGTCTTAAAGCTGTATTCGCTCTCATAAGGAATATTACACATTCTCAAATAAGTTTCTAACTTTAAAGATGGTGGAGAAACATTTAAAACTCGGTTGTTTGGAGGCATTTGATGAAGAAGAACAACTCCATCACGTAATCTCCGATTTGACTTTGGCATCAACTTCTTGAAAAGCATAAAAGCCTGCACCACCAGAATGATGAAGAGGAAAATACAAAAGGACACAAAGAAGAAGATGGGTACCTTCCAAAAATTCTCCGCCATCTTTACCAGGGGGCTGTGTGACTGAACTTAAGTTAAGGCATTTAAAGAATGTATACAAACTCAAAGCGAGGCTCCTTACGTCATTGGACGCCATATTTTTAGAAGGAGGGCAAGTTTTCTAGAGAACGATCGAGTACAGAATCTTTCATGAATTTTACGAAATCAGGTCGCTGTAGGGACGATCAGAATGGCGAAAATGAAATTTCTAGATCATGTGAAATGATATTCATGGATTTTTGGTCTAATTTTGTTTGTATTTCTTGAGAAAGTAGCCAGTGAAACCAACCGTTTCAACCGGCCGGCCATTTTGAGAACAGACCGTCTGAAGCTCAGAAAAGTCTAAAAACCTCAACAAAAAGATTTGTTTTTGAATCCTTAACCCTGGAAAGTTTGTTAAGTCTGTAATGGCTGATCCTGCCTCGCGAAAATCTGCAACACTTAATCGTTTACGCTCGGCACTCCGCAGAAAGCGGGAATCATTGGCCGATCAATTTGACTTCAAAATTTACATGGCTGTTGTTTTCAAGGAAAAGGTAATTTGCATTTGATTGTTGGTTAAGTGAAACTGGGTATCGCCTATAACAGGAAGCTGTTTAAAGGTGGTGATATCTTGTAGCGCTGATTTAAGGTAAAGAACTCAAACGTTGCTAGACTTGTCTCATGCATTTGACCTGTTTACATGGACTGTCGACTTTTTAGTGTCAACCATATAAGGTGTTGCTGTTCTTTAGTCAATTGATAAACTTATGGGTGAATTTATTTCCTTCTTATGACTTCTGTTAAAGGAAAGGAAAACTTTCAATGCGGATTGTGGTATATTACCTTTTTAGTTCTCTTGTCAACCCCTTCCCACCATCCATCAAATAAATGCAAGGTTTTATCCTTTTCATGACCGTCAGAAAAAAACAACCAACTAACAAAAAAACAAAAAGCAAAAAAACAAAAGCAAAGAAACCAAAACCAACAAATTCAACCTATGAGATTTTCACCTGGAAGAGCTAGTATAGCATTTCTTCTTGAAGTTCACTTTAAGAGTGACAAGATCTTAAAGAAATAGGTCAGGCATTTGATATTGAAAAGGTGGATATATTCTAGCTCAAACTTAAATTGCAGTTGAAGTTTTCTTACGTACCTTAAGTTGATTCTTTGTCTGACCAAACCCTAATTATTAAGGTTAGGAGACAAAGGAACTGAAAATTTAGTTTTTACCAACAACTACAACAGGTGCGTACTGCTATCCACCATTTAAATCATTACCCAGCAGTCAAGAGTAGTGCCACATAAACATTAATTGCAAAATTTGCTGGATATTAGTTATATACAATGTAGATTTACTCAGACTGTGAATCTTGCCATCCATCATTAGGACCACTGGGACAGAAGGACTATAATCTTATTTTCACCTAATGGGCTTGGAATACACCATGTCATCGTTCACTTTTAATAATATTATTTCAGACGTGTTGTTATCTTCACTGCACGAGTGCTGTTAGGATATACATATGTAGTATGTTTGGCTAAAAAAAGATTTAAAGAAATTGTGTGAAACATTATGATTTTTGTTCACAGAAGAAGAAGTCTTCATTGTTTGAAGTGGCGGATGTGCTACCTGTTATGACCAACAACTTTGAAGACACTATTATGAAAGGAGTTCAGGTACTAGGAGTTTTTTTTGTACCCTCCTCACCACCTGCCTTTGACAGCATTCCCAGACATACCTTCCCTCATGCACAGGGTTGTCAAAATAGGCCGGCAACCGGCGCTACCACCAGCTACTTTAAGGTTTCTGCTGCCAGTAACCTGGGAAACACATAATTATCCCTACTGATATGCATTCTCCTACTTGGGAAACATATATCCCTACTGAGATGTGTTCCCTACCTGGGAGAGACATATCCCTACTGAAACACATATTCCTAGTCATATGTGTTCCCCACCTGAGAAACACGTATCCCTAGTGATATGTGTTCCCCCACCTGGGAAACACGTTTCCCTAGTGATATGTGTACCGTCACCTGGAAAACATATCCCTAGTGATATGTGTTCCCCATCTGGGAAACATGTTTCCCCAGTGATATGTGTTCCCCAACCTGGGAAAAACGTATCCCTGAGATATGTGTTCCCCCACCAGGGAAACATGTATCCCTAGTGATATGTGTTCCCCTACCTGGGAAACACATATCCCTAGTGATATGTGTTCCCCTACCTGGGAAACATGTCTCGCTAGTGATATGTCTTCCCCCACCTGGCAAGGGAAACACATATCCCTACTGATATGTGTTCCCCAACCTGAGAAACATGTATCCCTAGTGATATGTTTTCCCCCACCTGGGAAACACGTATTCCTAGTGATATGTGTTCCCCCACCTGGGAAACATGTATCCCTAGTGATATGTGTTCCCCCACCTGGGAAACACATAGCCCTAGTGATATGTGTTCCCCTACCTGGGAAACATGTATCCCTAGTGATATGTGTTCTCCTACCTGGGAAACACATATCCCTAGGGATATGTGTTCCCCCACCAGGGAAACATGTATCCCTAGTGATATGTGTTCCCCCACCTGGGAAACACATAGCCCTAGTGATATGTGTTCCCCTACCTGGGAAACATGTATCCCTAGTGATATGTGTTCTCCTACCTGGGAAACAGGTATCCCTAGAGATATGTGTTCTCCTTGCTGAGAAACACGTATCCCTACTGATATGTGTTCCCCCACCTGGGAAACATGTATCCCTAGTGATATGTGTTCCCCCACCTGGGAAACGCACATCCCTAGTGATATGTGTTCCCCTACCTGGGAAACACATATCCCCAGTGATATGTGTTCCCCCATCTGGGAAATGTATATCCCTAGTGATTTATGTTTCTCTTCCTGGGAAACACATATCCCTAGTGATATGTGTTTCCCCTCCAGGGAAACACCTATCCCTAGTGATTTATGTTCCCCTACCTGGGAAACACATATCCCTAGTGATATGTGTTCCCCTACCTGGGAAGGACGTATCTCTAGTGATATGTGTTCCGGCACCTGGGAAACACGTATCCCTAGTGATATGTGTTCCCCTACCTGGGAAACACATATCCCTAGTGATGTGTGTTCCCCCACCTGGGAAACATGTATCCCTGGTGATATGTGTTCCCCTTCTTGGGAAACACATATCTCTAGTGATATGTGTTCCCCATCTGGTAAACATGTTTCCCCAGTGATATGTGTTCCCAACCTTCGAAACACGTGTCCTTAGTGATATGTGTTCCCCCTACCTGGGAAAGACACATGTCTAGTGATATGTGTTCTGGCACCTGGGAAACACGTATCCCTAGTGATATGTGTTCCCCTACTTGGGAAACACATATCCCTAGTGATATGTGTTTCTCCACCTGGGAAACATGTATCCCTGGTGATATGTGTTCCCCTACTTGGAAAACACATATTTCTAGTGATATGTGTTCCTCCACCTTGGAAACACGTGTCCCTAGTGATATGTGCTCCCTTACCTTTGAAACACATTTCCCTAGTGATATGTGTTCCCCCACCAGGGAAACATGTATCCTTAGTGATATGTGTTCCCCCACATGGGAAACACGTATCCCTAGAGATATGTGTTCCCCTACCTGGAAAACATGTATCCCTAGTGATATGTGTTCCCCCACCTGGGAAACGCATATCCCTAGTGATATGTGTTCCCCTACCTGGGAAACACGTATCCCTAGTGATATGTGTCCCCCACCTGGGAAATGCATGTCTCTAGTGATATGTGTTCCTCTACCTGGGAAACACATATCCCCAGTGATATGTGTTCCCCCATCTGGGAAATGCATATCCCTAGCGATTTATGTTCGTCTCCTGGCAAACACATATCCCTAGTGATATGTGTTTTCCCTCCTGGGAAACACGTATCCCTAGTGATTTATGTTCCCCTACCTGGAAAACACATATCCCTAGTGATATGCGTTCCCCTACCTGGGAAAGAGGTATCTCTAGTGATATGTGTTCCGGCACCTGGGAAACACGTATCCCTAGTGATATGTGTTCCCCTACCTGGGAAACACATATCCCTAGTGATGTGTCTTCCCCCACCTGGGAAACATGTATCCCTGGTGATATGTGTTCCCCTACTTGGGAAACACATACCTCTAGTGATATGTGTTCCTCCACCTGGGAAACACGTATCTCTAGTGATATGTGTTCCGTCACTTGGGAAACACGTATCCCTAGTGATATGTGTTCCGGCACCTGGGAAACATGCATCCCTAGTGATATGTGTTCCCCCACCTGGGAAACATGTATCTCTAGTGATATGTGTTCCGGCACCTGGGAAACACGTATCCCTAGTGATATATGTTCCCCCACCTGGGAAACACATATCCCTAGTGATATGTGTTCCCCAACCTGGGAAACAGATATCCCTAGTGATATGTGTTCCCCCTACCGGGGAAAGACGTATCTCTAGTGATATGTGTTCCGGCACCTGGGAAACACGTATCCCTAGTGATATGTTGTCCCCTACCTGGGAAACACATATCCCTAGTGATATGTGTTTCCCCACGTAGGAAACATGTATCCCTGGTGATATGTGTTCCCCTACTTGGGAAACACATATCTCTAGTGATATGTGTTCCTCCACCTGGGAAACACGTATCCCTAGTGATATGTGTTCCCCCTACCTGGGAAACACATATCCCTAAAGATATGTACTTCCCCACGTAGGAAACATGTATCCCTGGTGATATGTGTTCCCCTACTTGGGAAACACATATCCCTAGTGATATGTGTTCTCCCACCTGGGAAACATGATCCCTGGTGATATGTGTTCCCCTACTTGGCAAACACATATCTCCAGTGATGTGTGTTCTGGCACCTGGGAAACACATATCCTTAGTGATATGTGTTCCCCCACCTGGGAAACAGGTATCCCTGGTGATATGTGTTCCCTTACTTGGGAAACACATATCTCCAGTGATATGTGTTGCGGCACCTGAGAAACACATATCCCTAGTGATATGTGTTGCCCTACCTTGGAAACACATATCCCTTGTGATATGTGTTCCCCCTCCTGGGAACCATGTATCCCTAGTGATTTATGTTCCCCTTCCTTCCACATATCCCTAGTGAACATTGTATTTAATGCGGTTTAGTGAGAACCTTTCCTTCGTTTGTATTTACAGTCACATATAATGATAATGAATTTGAAACAAAGGAAAACTTTGTTTCTTTTTAGGAAGAAGTGTATTCTCTGGATAGTTCAAAACAGTTTCTGGATAAAGATGTGGTACAACTTCATTCTACAAGATATCAGCCTTTGAGGAAAGTATGTGGTCATGATATGCTTGACATTATTTTATTTGAAAGTATTTAGGGGTGTCAATGAAAGCTGGCAGTCTTTCATCACCTTAAGAATCTCCAACTGTCATCTTTTAAGGGTTGAGAGAACAATGTTTCCTGGATTCTTTTCTGGGCAAAGCCACGTAAAGTATTCTACCACCAGTAGGCAGTTACATAAAAATTTATTGGAACCCCTGAATATTGATGACATCTTCTGTACCCATTAAATAATTATTTCTGTTTGGCAAAACCAGATTGTTGCATCCTGTTCTTATTTTGATTTGAACTGTCTGTATAAAATTCACATTATTCACACCATCTTTACACCAAAGCTGCATTGTATTAGGATCTGTGAAGATTTTTTCTTTCTTGTTTTAAGCTCCGTATTTTCACCTAGTGTGATAGGCACTTAGCCTGGCTTTGAAGCAGAGGCTTTAGGCAACTCGGAAGTAGCCTATCATGGAATTTAATGTTTTTCATTTTAACATTGTACAGGACATAATTGGATGTGTGCAGGAAATTAATTTCTTTCTTTGGCCACGGAATGACATTGATAAGATTATCTGCCTGCTTTTTTCGCGTTGGAAAGGGGATGAGAATTGTGAATACAGACTAATTCAGGTAAATACTGTTATGCTATGCATTCAAACCATATTTTACTGCTGTTACTCTCACCTTCTACTTGCACATATTTCTGGGTGGAAAGTCTGCTAATGGTAGTAATTGGAATGTCTGTAAACATTTGAAGGTTTGGTCACATACACGTACAACTCTGCATTCAAGTTTATTTTATGGATTAGAGTTGTTTTGACATGCTCCTATAGTAGTACAAGGGTTAATTTACATTCAAACAAACTTTCGTCTCATGAATGGTGAATGGTAGGCTTGGAAGTCCATATTGGTTGATGTTTGTTTTATGGTAGTTGAACGGCCTTCCAAGGGGAGTATACTGTTGCTTTGTCACTCATTTCTGAGACTGCCTGTTACCTGGTAGGTTAGGAAAAAATGTCGCTGTCACATTCGATAAAGTGTCTGGAAAGAGTTAATTTTTATTAACCTTTCTATCTCAAGGGATCATTCTTGAGTAATACCATAATATTAAAAAAACATCTGAAAGGAAATAACAGAAAATGTTTGGAAATAATGGAAGAAAGTTTGTTATTTTGCTGAAACAGCTAAAATGCAAAAGTGAACAGATGTCGCTTTCACTACTTAAAAAATGGTTTGTCGCTGTTACAATTCTTTCCTTCTTTTCTGTCACTCAACTGTTGGTGCTTTCTGAGAGGATGAAAGTTTTTTGGGGCTATGTTGCAAGTCCCTTCTACCCCCTGGAAGGTAACCCTCGGTTGAGTTAGTTGTATGTTGTGATGGCCTACTGGGCAGATGACCTATGAACCCTTTAAGCCCCAATATCCACAATACATTTCTTTAAAGAATAAGTTGAGAGAATTTGAGAAAAGATCAAAGCATTTTCTCTTTGGTGATCATTTAATTAATTCTCATAACCTAATCTCTTGACATTGTATGGATATCGTTAGGAGAAAATTGATGTTGGTCACTATTGGGACTTAAACGGTTAAACTTGGGACCTGTAGATCAAGGTTCAAACCTTTGACCTGCCGCCATGGCATTGTTTCCTTAGACAATATAAATACTAGATTGGCTCAATTCTCTGGTAATTTTACTCTACCAAAGTCAAACTGTTTTTTGTTTTCCTTGGCAGAATGGATACTTTGTTGCTTGTTATGTACAAACTTGAAATAATTAGATTACCATAGAACTTAGAGAAATAAAAACAGAGAAAATGTTAGCAGCAAAATTTACTGAAAATTGAGCCAAGGGGAAAATAAATGGATTGTGTCACATGGCCCTGTAGAGATACAAAATTTATCTTTGAGTGTGGAAGAATATTTTATGAGTGAGCATAGCAAAAGTTAGTGAAAGAATTTTCTACATCAGAAGATAGACTTTGTACCTCCTTGAGCATTATTATAATTTTCTATGTTATTAACACCAATGAAATACCAAGCCATTTTACTTTAGTATTTTTTGCTGCAAAAGGTTTGATTTATTATTTAACCATAGCAATGGTGATCTTTTGAAGATAGCATGTTATTTTCACATGTGAAGATATCTTGTTTTCATGCAAGGCCTCACCTGGTATTTTGTGGGCGTTTTTATAATAAAATAATATTAGTTTGCTTTAGCAGGAACTTTTTAAGTTACCAGTAATATTCCTTGAGCCATTAAGGTTTCTACCTTAGTATGAAGCAAGAGGAATTAAGAAGAATTCTAAAAAGCACAGACCAATGTTTTGTGTTTTATATTCAGGCCAAGTTTGAGTTTGACTACCTTGACTATGAGAAGCAACTCTTGAGGCTTATCAGTAGAAAAGAGCACAATGGTTTGGTTATCAATAATTCATCACAGTCACTGTTCCTTTTTGTGGATAAACATCATTTGCAGGTACAGCAGTTTAATATGTAGCAAAGAAAGTCAGTTTCGGTCAGTTTTACAAGGGCAAGCTGTAGCTAGCATGTACCAGCCCAATAGTCATGCTAACTCGGCCGAAAAATTTTTAGTGACGCACAGGATTGATTACAGTTCTTCTGTAATTTGAATTCTCCCGGGAAAAAACTTCTTTTGCTCATATGGCAAGTTAAGATCAGAATTCACTAGCCCTGGGCTATCGGACACGAGTTTCTTTGCTTCACATGGGAGGAAACTAAGGCTAATGACTGGGAGCAATAGGTTTTGCTAATAAGCAGGACCAGCTGACACACTGGGGGAGTGAACTGAGAGAAGATGTGCTGGCACCGTTAATGCCGAGCTAAAACTTGAGATCAGAATTCACTAGC